ATAAATGTAATAAAGAGTTGAAAGGTCTCTATGATAAAAACCACAAAACATTGGTGAAAGGAATTGAAGAGGACACAAATGGAAATATATCCTGTGTTTATAGATTGGAAGAATCAATATTGTTAAAATATCCCTGTAGATTGAGCATTCCTAATCCAAAAATCTGAAATTCAAAATGCTCTAAAGTTCAAAACTTTGTAGCTTTGACATAATCGTACAAGTGAAAAAATTCCACACCTGACCTTCTGTGACAGGTCACAGTCAAAATGCATTCAAAACCTTGGTTTATGCACAAAATTTTTTAAAATGTTGTATAAAATAACCTGCAGGTTATGTGCATGAGGTTTATATGAAACATAAATAAATCTTATATTTAAATTTCAGTCTCATCTTCTAGATATCTCATTATGTATATGCAAATATTGCAAAATCTGAAAAAATCTGAAATACTTCTGGTCCCAGGCATTTCTGGTAAGGTCTGTTCAACCTATACTATCCAAATTGATTTGTAGATGCCATGCAATGTCTATCAAAATACCAATGACATTCTTTACAGAAATACAAAAAACAATCTCTAAACATGTATAGAACCACAAAAGACCCTAATAGTCAAAAAAAATTTTGAGGAAAAAGAATGAAGCTGGATGTATCACACTGACTTCAAATTATACTACAAAGCTGTAGTAATCTAATCAGCATGGTACTGGTGTGACCAGAGATATATAGATGAATGAGATAAAACAAAGAATAATACAGAAATAAATTCACACACTGATTTTCAACACAAACACCAAGAACACACGTTGGGGAAAGGATAGTGTCTTCAATAAGCAATACTAGGAAAACTGAATATCCACATGCAGACGAATGAAACTCGAGTTCTATCTTTCACAGTATACAAAAATCAACTCAAAATGAATTAAAGATTTAAATGTCAGACTTGAAGTGATAGAAGTAGTAGAAGAAAATATAGGACAAATGCTTCATGACATTGGTCTGGGCAAGGATTTTTTGGATAAGCACAAAAAGCAAAATAGACAAAAGCAAAAACAAAAATAACAAAAGCAAAAATAGACAAATAGGGTTATATCAAAGTAAAAATATTCCTCACAGCAAAGGAAACAATCAACAGAGTGAAGAGATAACCTACATGGAAGGAAATATTTGCAAACTGTGTATCTGCCTTAATATCTAGATTCAGAAAGAACCCAAATAACTCAATAGGGAAAAAAAACTGATTTAAAAATGGCCAAAAGACTTGGCTAGACATTTCTCAAAAGAAACATACAAATAGCTATAGGAATATGACAAAATGCTCAAGATCACTAATCAGGGAAATGCAGAGCAAAACTCAAATGAGATGTCAATTAAAATGACTGTTATCAAAAAGACAAAAATAGCAAATGTTGGTATGGATGTGGAGAAAGGAGAGCTCTTATGTTGGTGGCAATGTATCAATAAATTAGTACAGCCATTGTGGAAAATGATAGAGAAATTCCACAAAAACTTAAAAGTTGAGCTGAGAAAAGGTGGTATATATACACAGGGGAATACTTACTATTCAGCCATAAAAATGAATAAAATCCTATCATTTACTGCAATATACATAAACCTAGTGGACATGTATAAGCCTAGCATAGAAATACAAATACCACGTGGTCTCCCTGAAATGTGGCATCTAAAACAGTTGATCTTATAGTAGTATAGTAGCAGTTACCAGAGGCAGGGAGGGGGAGGACACAAAGGGGAGAGAGTCATCAACTGGTACAAAGTTATAGTTAGATAGGCTTCTATTGCATAGTAGGGTGACTGTGGTTAACGGTATGATAGTGTATGTTTCAGAATAGCTAGAGGCTAGCTAGAGGACAGAGAGTTTAGAATGTTCTTACCACAAAGAAATGATAAGTGATGAGGTGACAGATATGTTAAATACTTTGATTTTATCATTATATCATGTATATAGTTATTAAAACACCACCCTGCACCCCATAAATATGTACAATTAGTATGTTGTTAATTAAGAACAAAAATAAATAGGTGACTCATTTTGAAAGCTGTAATTTTCCATATGCCATGAACAACAAGTTCAATAATATAATGGATAGATTCTATTATATAATATATAAAAATAAATGCATAATAAAATTTAGGAACATTTTAAGAAAAGAAAGAAAATTATTCTACAGATAGTAATACATATTGTAGAACTTTAAATAAGAGTGTGGAATTCTCATGGAGATATTAAAAAAAAAACTTTAAAATGTAGAAAGTAACCTAAATACATGTATTAGGAAGGTAATATATAATATGGACACTTCTTCTAATCAATACATTATCCGTTAAATGGTGGTGATCCACACTTTGCTAGCTTTATCCATGAATAGCTTGGGTAGAAATTAATCCTGGTGAGCTTAAGCAGAGGAAATAAGTATTGGGCAGCTCAGAGGCAATAGACAGCCAAGCTCAGAAGATGACAGAATCAAAGGATTCTAAGATCTGGGAACACAGCCTGACTTGTGCCCCAGGAATTAGATGCTTATGATGACACAATCTGCTGTCTGCACAGAAGTCTAGACCCCACCACTGCCATTGACTAAACTTGATAATAGTCCCTATGTATCCACCCCCTCCACTCAGAGATTCAGGAAAGCTTCAGGGGCAGAGCCCAAGTCCTCGGCCTGTATCCCTCTTGTGGGAGACAGGAAAGGGATACCTTCTCTCCTCTAGCTTCTGTGGTGGGAGGTGGAAGTCTGCAGCATCTCCCCAGGCAGCATGGTGTCCAGTTGCTGGGGAACCAAAAATGACAGATTTCCACAAACATTAGAATGGCTAAAATTAGAACCATACTTAATGTCATAAATCAGAATAAATTCCACGTGGATTCAGAATTGACATATAAAACTTGAGACCATAAAAGTACTTGATGAAAATATGCATGAATGTTTATGTAATTTTGATTTGGGAAAGTTGATAGCCATGATCTAAAAATCAGAGAGCCACTAAAAATATTGGTAGAGAATATTAAATGAGCCAAAAAGGGAATCATGGTCTGTTAATGTAAATGTTTAAAAAAACATGTTTTAGAAATATGAATAGATATAATTATATTTTTAAAGTAGGATCACTTTTTTATATATTCTTTTAAGGACCATATATAGGTGTAGATATATATTCTTATATACAAATCCCCTGGTTCCCCCTAAAAGGATTAGAATGGCATATATCAGAATACTACCAGTGGTTATCTCTGGGTGATGACACTAGAGAGATTATTTTTCTTTCCCTCTCTCCCTATGTTGAAGATTTTCTTTTCTTAAAGCTGTATTTTTTTCCTTAAATTTGATATGTGAATGGTTGGTTGGTTGATTTGGTCTCCATAGATAAATTTTACGGTAAACGTTATAAAAGTGAAAGAAAACTTTAAAGAACAGGTAATGAGGCAATTGTGTCTTGACATTCCCACCTGTGTTTTATAAAAATGACGGTAACATGGCAGTTGGAACTTGCTTCATCTGGTGGCCCCTCTGAAATTACAACTAAATACTAGATGATGACTCTAAGAACGCCCCCCCATCATGATGTTTCTGTTAACTTCCCATGGTTTTTTTTGTATTGATTTGTTTTATTTTGTCTCGTTTTTAAGAGAACCCATCTGCTTGAACTCTCTAGTTGGTATTCAGGGTATTGGTGTCTAAGGGGAAGCCCGATGCAGAGACTCCGGAGATGTCTATTATGGTCTACGTTGCATCCCTGTGTGCTCTTAACTACAAAATAGGAGTTGCCCCAACATTTCCCCTTCTGGCATCCCTGAGATTCCTGGTGTCTTCTCTCTTACTTTGGATTCCTATCTTAGGAAAGGGTGTTCAGCATCTATTTGACATAAGAGACAGAGTGAGTCCTTCCTAGCTAAGGGTGAGTCACAGGCAGACTTCTCACAGAAGCCTTGATGGTAAAGGATAAAGGGATAATCGAGGGATAAAGGATAGTCAAGTCTTTCATCTCCCAGAAAGACTTGATTGTTGGCACATCCCAGGAACAGACCAAGAGATCCAGGGACAGCAGAGAAAGAAAGACCATAAAAATGGCCACTTGTTCCCTTTGTTGCCACTCAGTTGCTTTTCTTTCTTGTAGGAGAAAAAGAATCATCTGGCTGTGAATTTCTTTTCCTCAGTGCCATTAGCCTGTAAGACGATGTAAATCAGTAAACATGGTCTTGCCAGGATTTTCTTGTTGAACTGGTCATAGTCTAAGAGTTCTTCATATGAAAAAAGAAAAACCCTTTTCTTCTGCTCACTTCAGTGAGGGGACTCATTGAACATTGCTGTCATGTTCATCTCTCACCATAAACACCATGACTCTGAATTTCTGTTAAGTGTCAGAGCGTCTGTGCCTTTGTATTTCATGGGAACTCCGTTGCTCTAGCCCAGAATTAAATTGGTATGCAATTGTTCAGTGTATTAGATGGCTTATTTGTACAGTTTTCATCCTAGTGATTTTGCAAGGTGAGTATCAAACAGCGTGGGCAAATGTGTATTTTTTGAGCTAAACATTTCACGGTAGCTTCTTCCCCTTAAATTTGTTTTGGTGACTTGAAGCAGGTCGTCGTTAGACAGAAGAAGCAATATATTCCTTTTCTTTGGCAGAAATTAAAAATTATGCTTACCCTGGTGTCCTTGGCATTATGTTAATAGTATGAGGTTCTGTTCATTGGTCGTGGAACCTGATGATACTATAGTGTGGGCAGTGTAAAACATGTACACAGTGGTTAGGAATGGGGAATTGGCAGGAGCTGCAGTGTTGAGGCACAGTCCCGTCCCTCTGGACAGGAGGTCCAGACAAGGAGGTGTAAGTGCAGTGATGAGAGGGACACACGTGGCCAGGAGGGCTCTGATGGGCGTGATGACGGCAGCTGAACACGTGATCCCCTTCCTGCTTAGCGGTCCTCCATCACATCTGGGTCCAGTGAAACTCACACCGGGCCTTTTCTTGTCTCTTCGCAGGAGCCGCCTATTGCCAGTTCATGGACATGCTCTTTCCAGGCTGCATTAGTTTGAAGAAAGTAAAATTTCAGGCAAAGTTGGAACATGAGTATATTCACAACTTTAAACTTCTGCAAGCATCATTTAAGCGAATGAATGTTGATAAGGTAGGAGACTCACTTTTACCTCCATAAAATACGTTGTCTTTCCTTAAAATTGTTTTTGTGCAGGAATCCAAAAATCTAGAAATATACTGATGGAATACATAGTAATAGCTCAGTAGTAGGACAGACTCTCTACACAGCTTAAAGCATCAACCCTGACTTCCCATATTTCTACAAGGTTTTTGTTTCGGGATATTTTCTAAATTTGTAGCCATGGGATGAAAAACTCTTAACAGGCATCACAAATGTTCAAATGTTGTTATTCTGTTTTAGCATTGCAGATGAGAAACGTTTATGTTTACCAGATGCCACTGTGGTTCTTTGTGTATTTCCCTCCCCCTTTGGAGAATTCCGTGTTCTGCAGATACAGCATGGGTTGGAACGATAGCTTCATGACTTGAGCAAGTTATTTAGATTTTTTGAGACTGGATTTACCCATCATAAAATGGGACTAAAGCCTCCTCACTTATGGTGACAAAGTTGAACTGAGAGAAAATATCCAGCATAGGGTATGCGCTCAGATTCTCACGATCCAGAATTACCTTTTATTCCTCCTTGGAATTATTATAATTTTGCCCTAGAGTGATATGTGTACAAATGGAGTGAGGCCTGGAGTTCTTTTCCCCTCATTAAGAGACTATTGCTAAAACCCACTAAATCTCTTTCTGCATGTCTAGTGCTATTCAAATACTTCTGTTAAATATGTATTTGAATAGCACTAGACATGCAGAATGTATTCCTTGTTTAGGATGTGTCTCTTAGCATGAATAAGCCTGGAAAGAAATGAATTTTGAATACGGGAAGAGAGACAAACCAGCAGGAGAGAAATGGAAAACCTTTCTTTGCATAAATAGTAGTAATAGTCTATGGAAATAAAAAAAAATGTTGGGTTATAAGAGGTAGAAGTTAAAAGAAAGAAAAATATGGTGACCTGTATTTTAAGTTGTTGCATTTAATATCTTCCAAAATAAAGGCATTATTATCGAAGTAATACTAATGAAAATCTTGGCTTTTTATTTCCTCTGAGTTTTTATTTCAAAACATGCATTCTCTTTACCACCTTAAGCCTTTGAATTCCTTTCAACTGTATGTCCTTTGCTATGGTTAAACAAGAGCTGTATAGGAGGGTATTCATTTTTCTATACATACTTCTGGATTGAAAAGAAAAACACCTTTTCCTGGTTTTTTGATGTAAGTTGCTATGCCTTAGATTGGTGGGCTCCATATCTCTCTAGAAGTATACACACACAAAATGGGTGAGCAGTTCAGAATGTCACCGTGGAAAGAGACAGGCCTAGATGGCCCTTCTTAGCCTCTCCAGCTTTAGCGTGCTGCGGTCTGATCAGAAGTCCTGAGAGACAGTGTTCAATACCCTCATTTATGGCTGTCACACCCTAATGATGTGATGGAAGGTTCTGGACAAAGCTTTGCTTGACACCTCAGATTTGAATTTATGCCCCTGAAATTTGCATTTCAACAGGGAATACAAAATTAAGTCAACAGAAATAAAATGCCTCTTTTAACAGCTAATACACCATCATCATCTAGAACAGTGGTTCTCAACCTTCCTAACACCGCCATGTATTTTCATTGTTGCAGAGGGGTCGCGGCCCACAGGTTGAGGACCGCTGATCTAGAACTGTTTATAAATTTTCACATGTGTAATAGACAAAATACAGTCGTATGTTAATTAAAGGGCCCTATGTTCTCAGAAGCCACTAAGAAGTCACATTCTAACAAATGATCAGTATCAACATAAACAAAAAGTGAAAACTCTGAAGGCATGAAGGTAAATCCAGTGTACAGGGAAAAGTCACGGCAGGGCGCACATTACAGGGTCTTCCTTGTTAGCGGACTTCCCTGGAGCTGGGGGAGCGAGAGCAGAGAAGTATCAACTGAGATCTCTGTTACCAGGAGAGCCTTCGTGGAAAATGTGGTCTCCACCAGACGTTTGCTTCTCTTTGTTTTGTTCTGTATTTGGCTTAGTTTTTATTTTAGCTACATAAAAAGCATTTGTGAGGAAAAACATATTTCTCATGATTTAATTTAACGGATGGCCTGATACGCGTCAGTTGATTTTTGTCTTCCAAGATGTCATTGATATGTAAGATCTTTCCACATTTTTCAAAGTGGCCCTGTTGACACATGTTAGGCTACCCGTGATAGACAGCTCCTCAGGTGGCAAAGCCTGGCTGGAAGTTTGATTTCTGCAGCTTCTGTTCCCACAGCAAAGCCGTGTGCTTAATGATTCATGTGCCTGCGCACTCACGTACCAGTCAGACTCACACCCTAGCTTTGTAACTCTCTTGTAGTTCACATTCAACCCGTGTTTCCACCCAAAGACATAGAGCGTAAGAATCCAGTAATGCCATACTGTGGATAGGTTAGGTTCCTTTCCATCTCCCTTCAAAAAACAGTGGCCCGCTGAGTTAAAGTGAAGCAGTTGAAACCTTTTTTCCTTGCCCTAATTCCGAAGGTTCCTGTAAAACCCCTGTAGGGAATATTGCCTGACTCTTTAGGTTGCGGCAGGAGAGCGTACCCTGTGAAAGGCTGAGCTTCCTGTCTTGGAAGTTGGGGTGACTGCTGTGTGTCTCCTCCTCCTCAGAGCTCCCCGTAGCCCCTTAGTCAGCCTCCATTTCTTTTCCTCTCCCCTCCCTGGCACAGAGCTGTGTTTCTGGATAACCCGTGAATTCATGGGCCCTATATCATGGTTAGTCATTTTCGTATTTGTCTCTATATATTACAAATAAGCTCCAGGAAAGCTCATTTTGTCCTGAATATTAAATTAGTACCTGTTTTCATTTATTTAAACCTTATTCCTCTGTGCTTTCTAGTAGCTATAATCTTTAGAAGAGTTTATCCCAACACAACTGGGCCAAGTGTTACCAAAAAATAAGAAAAGTTTATTAATCTTGAAACAATACAACATCCCAGACCTCTGTTTTTGTGGGGAGATGATTTGACAAAAATATACAGTGAAGGAGACCAGCCCCTCTTGACAGCTATAGGGGTATTCCTCCTTTTGTCTGGTTTACTCAGAAGTATTAAATATTCCAAGATAACCAACAGTGATGTTTTGATTTAGTTCTTCTTTGATATAATGAAAAATTATATTCATAAGACAAATGTATATTCTAGAGTACCGCTGGGTAAGCAGCTAGGGGAGAGGTCAGTGGTCATGATTGCAGACATGTAGGAAATAGATTTAGGGAATGCTTCAGTTGTGTCAAACACAAACCTGAGGCTCCTAAGTCACACAGTGATTTTCTATTGCAGGTGATTCCAGTGGAGAAGCTAGTGAAAGGACGTTTCCAAGACAACCTGGATTTTATTCAGTGGTTTAAGAAATTCTATGATGCTAACTACGACGGGAAGGAGTATGATCCCGTTGAGGCGCGACAAGGGCAAGATGCAATTCCTCCCCCCGACCCTGGTGAACAGATCTTCAACCTGCCAAAAAAGTCTCACCACGCAAACTCCCCCACAGCAGGTATTGTCGCAATGAAATCACCAAGTCACTTTCATTTTAGAAGATAGCTTGGACCCTCCTGTGCTTTGCTATGAGGTTGATTCTTCCCAGCAGTCAGTATTTTAATGCCTTTGAATGGTTTTTATTGTTTTCTGTGCAACCACATTTAATCGTCCTATGATCCATTTGCTCATTAATCTAACAATCCTGATTTAAATGATTAAAAAAGCAGATGTAGGCTTGGCGCCTGTAGCTCAACCGGCTAAGGCGCCAGCCGCGTGAACCTAAGGTGGCGGGTT